ACCGCGGCGCATCTGGGCATCCCGCCGCTCCCATCCTCCGGGGCAAGAAAAACCCCATTCGTAACTGTGGATCCGACATAAGTCGGATCCGCGTAACTCGGGGACTGCCTGTACTCCACTTAGAGGAACAATCAGTTCCAAGCATACAAAATGAGAAGTGACTGTCTATGGAGTACTTCAGAAAGGGATTTAGGGGTATGTACTTAGCAAATTTCACCCTACGTTAAAATAACCCACTAAATGATCAAAAGCTTCTCCTCAGATGGGGAAAGACTTAAGAGTTAAAGCAGTAAAAGCTCATAAAGGAAAAGGTGGCGTAGGCCTTCTGTAGATAGAATTCTGTTATGCTGTACATGGCTTTTCATACTTGTCGCTTCTTTGCCATCTCTGCTCCCTACTTGGATTCATGTAGCGGACTTGATCATCAGAGTTGCTAGAGCTCTGTGCAATGCATCTGGGTTGGGGAGTAAAGGATGCATATGCCACCTTTTTGATAACTCCTGCCCCAGAAGCGTGGAGGTAGCTGAGGGCTAGTTTAGCCTCAACACATGTTACGTGGGCCACAGGTGGCATAGAGATGAGGGGGTAGATCTTTACCCATCACTAAGTGTCCTTTGTTCTTCAGCAGCATTAACAGCATTTTCAGATACTTCATTGAAGATTCATGCCACCTTCCTTTCCATGCCCTCAGCCTAAGTTATATCAGAAAGGAGAAAGAAGTACACTGCCAGGGGAGTGCTCTGTCCAGCTGCACAACTGAGTTATGGTAGAGACTGTTTTGACACTGTGCCAGGCAGTGTATCAAGGAGTATAACAGTGTCTTAGATTTTGTCTTCATACAGTGCTTAGGTATGAGCTTGTCTTCACTGCAAAGTTAACTTGAGTTATAATGCAAGTACTGCAAAACAAACACTTCACTCCAATGTGCTAGTATTTTCTCAACCCCAGTTGACTGGTCCTTCAGGGGGTACAGTAAAGGCTACAGGTCAAACTAGCACAATTCTTCAGCTGCTAATATGACCCCTCTGAATGATGACAATCCCCAGAGAGGTCTCTGAAACCTGTCATCATGCGAGACACTGAATCCAGCTGTATAAAGTGGAAATTCATAAGCTTCATGAAGGGACACATCCACCCTGATTGAATAAGCACTAATATAACATTCCCATCTCTGTACCCCTACCATCTGATTCTTTCACTTCATGCATCTGATGAAGTGAGTTGCAAGTCACAAAAGTGTATGCCCTAACTAAGTCTTCAAGGTGCCACCAGACTCCTTGTTGTTAGGGCTTGATTGTTTTGAGAGAGTGACCATTTGCTCCATTTGACTTTAGAGGGAGGTGCGGCGCGCTCGGCAGCTCAGAACATCAGGCCCAAGAGGTTTCTAAAACTGGGCATCCAAACTTAGACGCCACATCTGAAAATATGAACCCAGATGACTTGCCAAAGGCCATGCAAGGAGTTGACATTATAGACAAGATTAGAACTCAGGAGGATCTGGACTTTCAGGACCAGTACTGTCCCTATAAGAAACAGGAAATCCACTTTCTTACCTGTTGAGTGCATTGCATTTGGACAGTAAGACTTGTGCTCAAAGGTGAAAGTAGGCCAGTGCACCCGGTACACTGCGCTGGTAAGAAAGTGGCAGGCTGGGAGTGCTGCAGGTAGAGGGGTATGCTCTTGTGCTGCCAGGCAGGACACCATGTGTGACTGGTTGGATCACAGAGGCCCCCTTGGGTGTGGTCATGCCAGGGAACTCACCTACCTGCTCTCTGGGGCGCTCCATTACTCTGGCCCGCTGCATTTGGATTCTGTTTCATCCACTCCAGTACAGCCAATTTGTGCTTTGAGCTTCCCTTTTGGCTTCCATGGTGCTCTCATGGGCAGCTTTTTGGGTTTCTTTCTGGGCTTCCAATTATATCTCCTTCAGTTGCATGGCTCTCTCATGGGCAACCTATTCCCTATCAACTTGCTTATCTATCTCTACTTTTCCGTAATTCCATTTGTCTTTTATGTTCATTTTCCTTTTCTGCCACTTGGGTTCTATGACATTCCAGTTTCTTTTGGGCCTCACTCTCCTTTTGCTGATTTCCCTGCTGCTATTTCCCTTACCTGAAATAAGCAAACAGAAAATAACAAATAAGTAACCACTTTGTCTGTTCCCTAGCCACCACACTTAGAACACGCTTAAAAATCATTAGCAGCATCCAGAGCAACCAGCTGTGCACACTATACTGCTAGACTATGCCACTGTGATGAGTTCAAACATAGAGATCCTCAGGAGATTGTCACCTGGTGTACTGGTCATGTCACTGAGCCTGCCAGCCTGCCCTCTGAGGCATGCCCCGCCATAGTCTCCTGCTGAGCCAGAAGCTCTGGTTACCCCCAGCCACGGTACAGAGCTCAGGTAACTTCCCCTCCCAGCAGAGCAACACAGACATTGAACTAGCTCAGCTCTAAGGCCACTGACAGCACCCAGGAACAGAGCCCCAAAGAGGACCAAAATGGTAAATAATCCCTCTTACTCTGTATAAAATTTTTACACAGAGAAAGCTTTTAAGTTCACCCCTTTTATCAATGAAAGAGAGAGATGTCCAATGGCAGGTGCAATTACTTACACTGGGCTTGATAATACACAAAAGTGTTTTTTTATTAAGTATTGCAACTGAAAACAAAGAGCTCAAAATAAGTTACTAAGTCAAAATGAACAAAACATGCCAGGTAATCCTAATACACTGAGAAACGAGTTACATGCAAATTCTTACCTTACAGTTCTAATCTCTTTCACAAGCAAGGCAGCCTCCTAGCTTGAACCCAATCCTTCGCCCTATCCAGTCTTATTTATTTAAAATATTTTTACCCTGTCTCTCTAGTTAAAATATTCAAGGCAGCTTTAAAAATTTTGTAAAATACAATAAGTATATCAATAAATTACACACACACACACACACACACACACACACACACACACACACAAGACCTCCAAAGGGGGAGGCATAAAACTTGCTAAAACACCTCAAGAGGAGGAACGAACACACACACAGACACACACACCTAAACACCAATAAAAGCATTGGTAAAAAGGGTGGCCTTGGCCTGGTGTTGAAACAGTGTCAATGTTGGTGCCAGGCGAATGTCCCGGAGGGAGAGAATTCCATAGCCTAGGGGCAAAGGCTGAGAAGACCCTGCTCCAATATAGATGTCAACATTATCTCTGTATGTGGAGGAACAGGGAGCAAAACCTCCCGAGCAGACCTCAATCCCCGGACAGGTTTGTATAGGAGGAGACGATCCTTCAAATACCCCGGTCCCAACCCATTTAGGGCTTTATAAGTCATAACCAAGACCTCGAATTGTGCCTGGAAACAAATCAGAAGCCAGTACAACTGCTGGAGCACCAGCATAATGTGCTCCATATAACGAGTATTAGTTAAAACTCGAGCAGCCACATTCTGGACTAGTTGAAGCTTCTGAAGACTCTTCAAAGGTAGCCCCATGTAGAGCGCATTACAGTAATCCAAACGGGATGTGATAAGAGCATGAAACGCTTTAGCCAAGTCGTTCTTATTCCGGAAGAGTCACTGCTGGTGGATCAGCCGAAGCTGCCCAAAAGCACTCTTGGCCACTGAGGAAATCTAATTTCCAAATGTTAAAAAAGGGTCCAGGAGGACCCCCAAGCTGCGTGCCTGTTCTTTCATGGGGAGTGTGACCCAGTCCAGAACAGGTAAAACACCACCTTTCCAGACAGATGGTTTCCGGATCCACAGGAAACCACAGTCTTATCTGGATTCAACTTCAGCCTACTCGACCTCATCTAGTTCATTGCTGCCTCCAGACACCGGTTCAGATTTACTGCTGCCATACCTGGATCCGTTGTCACAGAGAAATAGCATTGGGTGTCGTGCATATTGATAGCACAGGTAGGACCGGAACCACTGCAAGACCCTGCCTCTGATACCCAGCTCTACCAGGCGCTCCAGAGGGATATCATGATCAGTCATATCAGAAACTTCTGAGAGGTCCAAGAGAATCAACAGGGATGCACTCCCCCCTTGTCTGCCTCCCGGCATAGGTCATCTACCAGGGCAACCAAGGCGTTTTTTGTTCCAAAACCAGGCCTGAAGCCAGACTGAAATAGACCTAGATTATCCATTTCTTTCAAGAAAGCTTGGAGTTCCAACACCGACTGGATAATAGCTATTTACCTCACATGGGTCCAAGGAAGGCGTTTTAAGGAACAGCTTTATCACCACCTCTTTCAAAGTGGCGTGAACTGCCTCAGATCTAAAAGATGCATTAATAATGCTCTGGATCCAACCAGTCATCCCTTCTCGGCTCAATTTAATAAGCTAGGAAGGGCAGGGGTCGAGCGAGCACATGGTTGGTCACACTCCTCCAAACACCTTGTCCATATCCTCAGTCTGCCAAAGCTGAAACTAATCCAAAGAAAAATGACTGGGTGGTGTGCTCAACACATTCTGCATCTCACTTACATGACAGCCAGAGTCCAAATCAGATTGGATGCACATAATCTTATCTGCAAAGTGCTTTGCAAACAAATCACAGTGAATTGCTGAAGACTCCTCCATTTCGTCACGAGGGCCAGGCTGTAAGAGGCCCTGCACCACTCAAAACAATTCCACTGGACGGCACTGTGCAGATGTGATTCAGGCAGAGAAGTAACTATTATTCACTGTCAGCACCGCCACAGAATAGGCTCACAATTCAGCATTAACCAAATTCTTAGATGTTTCCAGCAGGCATCTTGGGTGATAAGTGGGAGGGGCCATATCCTCCTGTCTGACCATTCCCATTAGTGTTTGATTTCCTCCTTTGATAGCCCTTTTGCCCAAGGCAGGAATTCTTTGTGCTCACTTTAAATTTTTGTTTTGTGTGAGTGGAAAAGTTCTTGATCCAAAATTGGTTCCTGGACAAGGTGGCCTAGCCACACGTCCTGACATGACCAGCCGCAATCTAGGCTTACAGGAAAAACCATTCACGGATTGTTACCTTGAGCACAGATCCATTAAGTTTCTGGGGAATCAGTAATGGCCCACATTAGCACATTTAGAATTATAAACAGATCCACACTTCATATGTCTAACTTCACATACAAGAATGATGCATGCACAAAAACAGAATGTACACAGTGGTCAGGTTGTAACTTTAAAATTGACATGTTACCTGCTGCATTTCACCTAAAACATTTTTGAGTTATAAATAATCAGGGCTCAACAAATAATGTAATCTGCTCACCTGTGGTGAGTAGATTACAACCCGGAAGAGCTGGCACAGAGCGATCTGCACATGCACAGAACAATCTGCGCATGCGCAGAGCGCAGAACCGCGCAGCTGGCGAGCAGGGCTCGCCGCCACTTGGCGAGCCCTGTACATAGTCATAAGCCAGTTTTCATAAAGCATGTGATCATGACACCACCCAGAGTGTGGGGCTCCCAGCCTGTCCTGCTGGCCCCACTGTCTGGAAGCAGTGTTGCATCACCTGCATCTTGGCAGTGTGCAACCCTGGGAGGGGGAGGGAGTGGCAGGGTTTCTGTGTGCTGGCTTGCCACCGCAGCTGCACCCCCAGGTACAGCTCCCATTTGGCCAGGAGAAGGAGTAGCATGAGGCAGGATAACCAACCTGACCAGGACTGCCCTAGTGCCAAGTCTTCCTCACACATGCCCCTGTACACACACATCCCACACTGCCTATGCTGAGCTTCCTGCACACTCCAACCCCTTGCCCTGAGCCATGCAGTGCAATACAACAGTATCCGTAAGAAATGTGTTACTTTCACCGCTGTTTGTGCTTCTTCTGCTTATTAAACTAGTGTTCACAACAAGAGAACATTTCCTGGGGAGGAAAGGAAGGAAATGAATGGGACAAAGGATGAAAAAGATAAAGACAGAATGACTGAGTAGTTTAACAGAACTATTATTTTACTATCTGTAATTCTCTAGCAGCTCCTTTTATGTACTGCAAGGGGAGAATTCTACCTGTCTATCTAATCATCATGTATTTGTTTCAGAAACAACTGCAGGGGTCCTCTGTACAATTTTACTGCATGTACTTCTGACACACCCTGGGGGCAAACTTTCAGTGGGTGTGTGGCCCAGTGTCTGTACTGCAAAATTTACAAACATGACTGAATTGCAGGCACAAATCTGAGTGCTGGTGCCGCCACCTTCTCAATTATGAGTGCAAAACAGTAAATGGTGCAAGTACTCAAATTTTGTTCCTGCAAATCTTTGTGTGCTCATTAAAAGGGAGATTGCAGTTCTAGGCTTTCTGAAAGTGTAGCTACAGTATGTGGGGAGCTTTATATCTTTTTAGGAGATGTAAGGTGCAGAACCTAACTGGGACAGAAAGGGTGTTTCTATGCAGGGTTGATTTTTATCTATGTGACTTGGTGTGTATATAACTGGGGCAATTATTTCTCTTTTTAGGGGTGTGACAAGAAAGCCATGGTTTGGGACATGAGATCTGGACAGTGTATCCAGTCATTCGAAACTCATGAATCAGATATCAATAGTGTCCGGTCAGTGCCTTTCTGGCAGAGCACTTTTATAACATGGAAATACAAAGCTATATATTGATTTTTCTTTCTGAAAGCCTGCTTCATTTGACTAACATATCCATTGTACTATTTTTTTTTCCTCCTCCCTTGAACAGATACTACCCAAGTGGGGATGCTTTTGCCTCTGGTTCTGATGATGCCACGGTAAGTTCATTCAAGAACTTCATTTAGAAAAGTGTTATGAAGTCTCATATCTTAAATCCTTACAAAGAATGGGCTACATTTACAGCTGACAGATGTGAATTTATTAGACACAAGTTATTAGAATTCCTAGCTGGCCTTTGAAAGTTTTTGGTTGGGAAGATTTCTGTGTGAAATTGCTCAACTTCATGCATGCCATCAGATGAGCAGGGTCACAATGGGAGGCATGCAAGGAGGTTTCAAAAGGTAGATAGGCAAATACTCAAACTTCCTCCATTAATCTGTCTATAAAATTTGCAGTCACATTTGTTTGCACAGGCAAACTAAATCTGAATGGGCTGTGTATGGCCCCCCGAGTTTTGTATGCACGTAGAATCCCGCTGAAACTGGACTGACTCTCTGCCATTTTAAACTGTGCTCCATTCTTGGGAACTGCTAGCGGGACTGAACTCCTTCTCCTCTGTGGTGTCTCTAGGATCTGACCCCAAATCAGATCATCTGGTGAGGCCAGTTGAACAGAGCAAAAGCCACAAATGTTTGTGTAAAGGTAGCTTAAAGCTGCTGCTCTGCGTGGGCCAGTCTGTCTGCATTGTGCAGGTCTAATTTACTCTGGACTGCAACAAACATGAAGGCACAAAAACACAGGCAAGGTTTAGCACTGCACCAACCTCATTCTGGAGCATAGACCAACTTCCAAACATTCATGGAGGGAAGCAGCCACCCTCGCTGTGATGCAGTGGGCCTGTCCAGGCTAGAGCAGCCTCTGGCTCATGGTGCAACATGGCAGGCTGGTTAAACATATAATTTAATCAGTTAACACTTTTAAGTGGGATTTTACATCTCTAGTCTGTTTTCCACTTCACTCAAATTTGTCTTCTTATTTCAGAAATTGTTATAGGAACTAACATCAGCTTTCTCCTTTGCAAAGTTGTGAATATATGACAGCCCCACAGTGAGGCATCACAAAAGGCAGGATTTGGGTTGACTATGGGTATTAATCACCAATGCACAGTTCTCTACTCTTGACATAAAATAGTAACTCCAGCAGCTAATCACATTAATAGGCCTTTATCTTCTCCTTGGAGGTTGGTTCTCTTAGTCTTGAAGTCTTCATATTAAGTCTGGATGCTCTTCTGAAATGTGTGTTTTGGCCACACTCGGGTTAATGGGCTCAACACAAGATGAAATTCTGACTTCCATTATACAGAAGGTCAGACTAGATCAGGGGTTTTCAAACTCTGGGTTGTGACTTCCAGCCAGCAAGCAGCTTGCCCTTATGAGACACTTTGTTTACTGTGTCTCCACAGATATAGGCGATCGCAGCTCCCGTGGCCGAGGATTGTTGTCCCCAGCCAATGGGAGCTGTAGAAAGTGGTGCAGACTGAGACACCACATTGTCTGGAGATAGTGCATACCATTTTGTAGAAGCCAAAAGCCTCTGTTATAAATTAATACATCTAGCACATCGAGAATACAGTGAGCATCTGCATTGTGGAGGCAGTGAAATGGAGAACTTCTCCATCACTAAGGGTATTCATTCATATAAGAACACACTCATTTTTCAAAAGTACCACAAATGCATCTAATCGCTTGTGTGATTTTTTTTTTTTTTCTCTGAACTGAATAGAAGAATGGAAAATTTCATCTTCATACTTTGGAGGACGGAGATAGGTCAATTCCTCAGATTAAAGGATATTTTTAAATTAGAAATGGCAAATTGCTGCTTTTAAATTGAGAATATTGAGAGGAGCACTGCAAGACTTCTGTTATTCAAAACGAATGTTTTGGGTTGTTTGGTCCTGATTGATGAGCTGTCATAAATTTATGTTTATATAGGCTTTTTCTCACCTGAAGTGAACAGACCCATTAGTCAAGATTTTCTGACAGAATTATTCATTAGTTCATAGTACCAGGAAACGCTGACTTCAAATACTTTGCAATTTATAACAGGTCTGTGAATAATACAGTCTCTGCTTTATGCTCAGACTTGAATATCAGCCATTTTTCATGAGTAAGACTTTCATATTAACAAACCCAGCTAGCCAGTGTTTGCTTAGATTTAACTTATTGAAGCCGGCAATCTGAAATACAGCTTCAAAAGCACACATGAATTCAGGGCTGAGTAAGTGCTACAGAAATTTTGGTTTCAATATAGAAATTTCCATATTAAACAAGTTGAAACATATTAGTAAATAATGGAGGAATAAACATGTGAAGCCAGTCTATAGGACTGACTGGAAATTTTTCAGCAAAAGGTTTTTGTTTCATTTTTTTGGTTGGAAATTGCTGATTCATCCAAATCAAAACCAAAATGCTGTATGGAAATATATTGATTGTGGTTCAATTTCCATTGGGAAGCTTTCTTAGGTCTAGGATGGAAATTTCTAGAATCTTTTTCTCTCTATGGTTTCTCATGATAAATTTTCAAAGTTGTTCATTCTGATGCAGGATGAAAACAAATTCTGAAAGCTCAACTTTTTTATTTTTTGGTGAAATGGAATTCTTGTTTTCTGGTCAGTCCTAAAAGGCTGTTCCACCCTCCAGCTGTAAACATATAATAAAGCAGAAGGGCAGGTAGACTGTGAATGTAGGAACCCACAGTTCCTCTCTGCATCAACATGGAGAAATGACCTAAGGAATGCACAGTGAATAGCTCAGTTTAGGCCAGTCAGTCTTAGGTCATTTAGATCACAGTTGAGATCCACGTGTCTAAACAACCTGTGTAGTGGTCCCAAGTACTCTTTATAGAGTGGCCTATTCCACATCATGCTCACAGAGGTGTAATTCCTTTCCCTTTGCTCCTCACACTTTGCATAGTGTAGTAGTTGGGTCTAGTCCTTCGTGATAGATGTATCATGTTGTTTTTGCTTTAATTCTAGTGTCGTTTATATGACCTTCGTGCAGATAGAGAAGTAGCAATTTATTCCAAAGACAGCATCATTTTTGGAGCTTCTAGCGTGGATTTTTCTCTCAGTGGTGAGCTTTGAATTTTGGGGGCTATTTAGGTTTTTGCTGGGGGGAAGCATTTAGACTGAGGTTGTAATGTCATACTTTTTTCTGTTTAAATTGAAAATGTTTGTTGTTACAAATAAGAGATAAATTAAATGTTGGGTGGGGGTGGAGAGAATTCCCACCCATTAAAATATCATCATCTTTTGTAAAAGATTTTTATTAAGTACAGGCAGTCCCCGAGTTATGCGAACGGGGATTTTCTCGCCCTGGAGCAATAATTTTAATGGTGTTTTGAAGTTGATATAGAGTCCTCATTGATTCTTTTCTACCAAATTATTAGTATCAAGTAGGAAATTCATTTTTAATGAAGTTTTTGTGCAAGATTTTTATTTACCCTGTCATATTAACTGCAATAGATTAATTAATGCACGTAGCTATTTCAGCAACAACTAGTACTACTTGGGTTTGCATTTGGTTTGTTTGGTCAGATAATGAGTTGATATTCAAATTGACGTATCTACATGCTGCAGGCTATTGAGAGACAGGGTTGTCTTTTAGCTAGAACAGCAGGATTCCAGATCCTGCAACTGATTCTGTGTGATGTTGGACAATAATTGTTTGTAAATGAAAAAGAAACTCTGGTGACATACTGAGCCAAGAGACTATAAACACAAGAATCATTACTGAAAGAAAGGTCTACAAGGGAAGGATGACAAGGATAATGAGACTTACTACTCCCACTGAAAGTGGTCAGCATTACAGGATATATATACAGATCGAGGATTTTTTGTAAGAAGTTATTTCCCCTCTGCTAAAAAACAGCATCAGTAACATCCTCTTTTTGTGAGCATCACATATGGGAATTGTTTCAAATTACTTATCTGTTTGCAGTAGCAGTAAACTATACATGAGCTCTTAAGTACAGGCAGTCCCCAGGTTACGTACAAGATAGGGACTGTAGGTTTGTTCTTAAGTTGAATCTGTATGTAAGTCAGAACTGGTGTCCAGATTCAGCGGCTGAATCTGGATGCCAGTTCCGACTTACATACAGATTCAACTTAAGAACAAACCTACAGTCCCTATCTTGTACATAACCCGGGGACTGCCTGTAATGCAATTGCTTATTACTTAATTGTAGCAACAAATAATATGTTGCTATAGGATTAAATCCTGGCTCCACAGAAGTCAATGGGCCAGGATTTCACCCCTCATGCTTAAATACACCTCAAATGCAACTAGATATAGAATATTGGCCACTTTTTGTATTTAGAGTATATCTATAAATAGTTCACAAAAGGATAATACAAGATTAATACATGTTATAAGCATGTTACAGACCTGAGTGGTATATGAGTAGCAGTAGTTGTAGGTGATTATATAAGCCACAGTTGTGAGCAAAATATCGAACTGTTTGAATTGATAACAAGCTATAATAATTGATCCTTTATTAAAACATCTATTATCACTTGGTAATCTTTTATAAACATACCCAAAATATGATCAGAATATTTTTCTCTGCTATTTTAAAGTTTTCTATTTGCCTTCAGTCTATATTCCTCCTTTGAATTAATCTTTCATCTGTAACAATTGAAAGGATATAGAATGTTATGAAAGGAAAAGTGCAATCATAAAATGTTTAACATTCTTTTAAATGAGGGCTCAAATGCCATTACTTTTCAGTTGAAGAAAATGGATTCTGCTGGTCACCTATTACTGGCAATTAATATCCAGAGCCATGATAGCACATATTAAGTGTCATGTAATTACAATTTAAAATACATTTTCTTTCTAAAAATTGAGGCCGGACTTCCATGATATAGGGTTAGAATGCATAAAAAGTAATTAATCAGATTTTTAATGAACCTTTGTGTTGAAGCAGCATCCTGTAGTGCCCATGAAAGTAGAGTGAGGATGGCCTAGTATTTAAGGTGTAGGATTATCAGAAGATCTGACTTCACCTCAAACTTCTTACGAATAGCTTTTGCTTCAGCCAGAAAACTCGTCTTTCATTAACTCTTAGTACTTAGAAGTTTAACCATTTAATCTATTATTCTGTATAAATGTATTTCTATTTGCAGGTCGCCTACTATTTGCTGGTTACAATGATTACACTATAAATGTATGGGATGTTCTGAAAGGGTCTCGTGTATCCATTCTGTTTGGACATGAAAACAGAGTTTGCACCTTAAGAGTTTCACCTGATGGAACTGCATTCTGTTCAGGATCATGGGATCACACTCTACGAGTAAGGGATTTTTCTTACCAAACCGCTCCCCCCCCCCCCCCCCCCCAAAACCCATGGGTTTCCACTGGTAAATTCATTATAGAAAATGTCCAGGGGATAGAATGTGACACAAGTTGTTTTAAAGAAATCAAGGCCCATTCATTTCATAGCTACTGCTGCAAACAGTAGATAAGGTTTAAATGATATTTCCCCAGGTCAAGAATGTATTCACCATTCAAAGAAAGTTTGCAGAACATTAACAGTAATAATTAAACACTGGGAAATTACAGGTTATAAATTAAAGCAACTTCTTCATTCTCAACTATTTACACATAAATCTCCTTAACAAATTCCAAGAAAATATTTTGGCTCACTTCTAAATTAACCAGGCTTTTGATAAAAACCAAAATGTTTGTATAGAATATAAAATATAATTCCCTAAAAAATTGTTCAACTTTTGTCTCTGCAGATCTGGGCTTAAGATGTAGTGCAGTTTTCAAATGCAAATGAAGATTGATACCTTGGGCTACAAAGAAAAGGAAATTTAATTCTACAAATGTAAAATGTCCTTTAGAAAGATGTAGCATTTCTGTTGTAGTTCCCATGACTTATTGATGAGTTGCAAATCAAATTAAAACAAAACAAAACAAGCTGGGACAACTTGTTAGCCAGGAATTAATTCAGTGTATTAGCTACGCTATCAAATGTTCTTACTGAAAACACAAATATACACAACTAGATAGTAAAGGTTATCTGCTTTTAACACATAGCAAACGTCAACTTGAAGTATAACATGTTTTTAATTCTGAGACTACCTTCTTTCATTAGAGATAGTTTAGATAATTCTAAAACCAGACTTTTCTCTGAAATCATCTGTATCATAGAATTTTGTAGTCCAGGGCATATTATGTATTTATTATTTGCAATGATTGATTTTTTTTTTTTTTAAGGAAAATTGAAAAAAAAAAACCAAACACCTGATTTTATCTGGGTATACACTATGATTTTTGAAACATTCCGTAGTAGTGCATTGAATTTGTATGTAAAAAGTTAGAAAGTAAATCAGTTTTCTGACCCTTTATTATGGAATTACAGATGACTCAATAATGCTAATAATTAGAGAGCATAGAATCTAATGTTGAAGATACTAGTTGTCATAAGCAGTATTTTTTTGTTTAAAAAAGTCATTTCAATCCCAGTTTTTTTTCTTATAGATTTTTAGATTATATTAACTATATCATCTCTGTTACCCAAATTTAAAGCATTCAAGTAAACACAAAGATAAGCTAAACTATGAGTAGTATAATTCATGGTTAATAGTAGTATAATACATAGTCACAAGGTAATATTTTAACCAGTAGTTTCATGGAAATTTTTAGATGTATCACTTGGTGAGTGAATTTTCTTTGAACTAGAGATACTACTTCTAAGTACTAATGATACTGATTATAAAATATTCATAAGTCAGTCATACTAAGTCTCTGATCCTGACTCTCATTTACAATAAGGCCACTTCATACCATTCTAACAGTGGCAAGCAGCCTTAAAGTGCTACAAATGTAATATATTTACATTTTAAGGTCTCTTCACAATGTCAGAGCAGCATAAAATGTCCTTAATGTAAATGAGAGTCAGATCCTCTGAGCTGAATTCCATAGTCCTTTCAAGTCCTTACAAGCATCACTAACTTCAGTGGACACTTTTATCCTAGCAGAACTGTAGCATCAGAGCCTATATGGAAAATGCACAAAACTAAAAATTGGGAAAAGCCGTTTAAGGGACCAATCATGCCAAAACTTATTACAGCCACTGTACTTACTATAATAAGTAGTCTCATCAAATCAATGGGACTCCTCAGCCAATGATGCCAGCAGTAAATATTTGTAGGATCTGGTCCTGTGGGTGAAAGTTGTCATGTAATATACGTTCACTATGCCCATATAGATCCAACAATATTTAAAGCTGTAGTTGTATTCATATGTTGAAAACTACTAAGGGCCAGACTGGGCCTTCTTTGCTCATACTGAATGGTACCTTACCGCTAAACTAGTCCCATTGAACTGGATGGAGGTAAAGGAGAAGTAAGGTACTATTCATTGTGGGTGAGGTTAGTACAGTCAGGCTTTCAAAATGCAATGAATGAGCTACATCTCTGAACGAATGACATCTATATTTTATATTTAGATTCAGTCAAAAGTAAAGAATTGTCTCTTGGGGTTGGTAGTTCACATTAAAATATCAATAACTTCATTCCATTTTAAAAGGTGATCATTTAAAAAAAGTTGAGTATATAATATTTGTACTAGAAATGGTCTCCTCATTCATGACAACATCTTGCTCCATAAATCCAGAACTAATTAATTTAGGCCATTGACCCAATCGTTCACTTTACAGGGAGAAGATGAGCCTTCACTCCTTGTTAAAATTGTTTGTTTGTTTCTGCTTAGAAAAGTCAGCTCCAGTGCTTTGCAATATTTGTGGCAATTTATCCCTGTAACAAATTGAATGAACTATGGAAATTGTCTGGAGCTCATTGTGCAATATTGAGTTACTACACTGTATGCATTTGTTCAAAAAATTAATATTAATGTTTAGATAGTATTTATTGGTAAGATATTTGTTTTTAAACATACTACGTTGTGTTGATACTTATGAATGGCCTAAATATAATAAATCATATTTTACTTATTGAGAAAATGTGTATTTACAGTCATCTTGCACATAAGTTACATGCTTTTAATTAAATCCTTGGTATATGTTCATGGCAACAAAGACTTTGCTCTATAACCGACTGCTCATTTGTCCTACAAAAGACCTGATACAGTCAGAATCTGAATATGATAGAAAGTAGCTGTGCTGCTTGTCATGAAGAAAGAGCCATGGTAAGCAAAGGCAATTATGTGAGATCTGTCTCTGCAGCATATCTGTGAATTCCTCTATCCCTTCAGCAAGGAAAAAGGAGAAAACTGCTGGAGGAAGTGTTAGGTCCCTGAGGACTTGAAAAGGGCAAACCTAGCATGTGTATATTAAAGGTGGAACAAAGAGAACATGGGGTATAATAGACCAATACCTGGAATGATACTGGAATAAATTAAGTTATGAATATATGACCATCTAGAACAGGGGTGGGCAACCAAAAATTGTGAATGGGCCACATGAGTGGCCCTTCTTCACCTCAGTGGGCTGCAGCAGCCTGTGGCCCTGAAGCCCTGCTCTCTGCCCCCCCCCCCCTTTTCACCTCACACACTGGGGCACCGTAACTCCACACTTACCTGCTCCTCTCCCTTCCAGCACTTTCAGAGGGTGCAAATTGCCTGATTTGTGCTCCGTCCTGCTCCTCTTCTCCCCCCCCCTCCCTCCCCCCCCCGCCAGAACTGGAATGCTGCAAACAGCTGATTCACAGCGTTCCAACTCTGGGAGGGAAGGGGGAAGTGGGGATAGAGCATTAATTAGGCAATTTGTGGCTCCTCTGAAAGTGCTGGCATGGAAGGGGTGTGTGTGTAGAAAGTGTCCTTCCCCAGTGCACAAGAGGCATATGGAGGAGAGGGGCAGCTAGAGGGTCTGTGGGCTACAGCCACAGCGACTCAGTCTGCTCACCACTGACATAGAAGATATTAGGAGTTACAAGGAATAGCCAGCATGGATTTGTTAAGAAGAAATCATAGCAAACTGATCTAATTTCCATCTTTGACATGGTTACTGGCCTAATCAATGGATTGGTGTTGGGAAGCAGTAGATGTGATCTATCTTTTGGCTTTTTACCCAATCCTACATGATATTCTCATTAGCAAACTAGGGAAATGTGATCTAGATCAAGTGACTATGAGTGTCCAACTGGCTGTCAGACCATACTCAAAGAGTAATTATAAATGGTTTGCTGTCAAACTAGAAGGGTAAATCTAGTTGAGTCCTGCAGTGGGTTCTCCTAGGTCCAATATTATTCAACATTTTCATTAATAATTTGAATAATGGAGTGAAGAGTGTGTTTTATAAAATTTGCAGATGGCATCATGCACTATGGAAGACAGGATTAGCACTCAAAATTACGTTGGACAATTGAAGAACTTGAACGAGTTTGAAATGAAATAGAAAAAATGCAAAGTACTTTGCTTAAGAAGGAAAATCAAGTTCACAACAACAAAATGGAGAAATTGGCTAGGAAGTAGTACTGCTGAAAAGACTGGGGATTACAGTGAATCACAAATTGAGTATGAGCCAACAATGTGATGCAGTTGTGAAAAAGTCTATCATTTTAGGGGGTATTAGCAGGAGTGTTGTATGTAGACCGCAGGCTTTTTTCGGAAGAAGCTTTCCAGAAGAGATCTTCCAGAAATCATCTTCTGAAAGAGAGCGTCCACACTGCCAAAACGCATCAAAAAAACGGTCTGCTTTTTCAAAAGATAGCGTCCATTCAGTGTGGATGCTATCTCACGTTTAAGCTGTGATTACCAAGGACCAGGGCACCTGTGCTTTTTCCTCTTTCCTCTTCTTTTGAAAGAACTCCCTCTTCCCTGTCAATGCACGCCTTTTTCCGAAAGAGCTCTTTCGGAAAAAGGCTTCTTCCTCATAGAAAGAGGTTTACCAATGTCAGGGGAAAAACCTGCTATTCTTTCTATTTTCTTTTGAAAGAACGCAATTGCAGTGTGGATGGACATACGTGAATTTTTTCGGAAAAACAGCTGTTTTTCTGAAAAAACTCTGTAGTTTAGACATATAGCCTAAAACACAGAAGGTAACTGTTTCTTTACTCTGCACTGGAGAGGCTTCAGGTGGCATACTATGTCCAATTCTGGGCACCCTGCTTTTGAAGGACAGCAAGAAAATTATATTTATACAAAGAAAGGTTTAAAAAATAACTGAGTATGTTTAGTCTTGAGACAAGAAGACTGGATGGAGCGGACCTGATAAGTCTTGAAATATGCTGAAAGCTGTTCTAAAAAGGACTGTCATCAATTTTTCTCCATGTCCTCTCATGATAGGCCAAGCAATAATGAGCTTCATCTGCAGCAACAGAGTTAGGTTAAATATTAGGAAAAACTTTGTAACTATATGTATATAATACAACTTACATCTGTAGTAACATTAGCAGAAGTATCTATCCTGGGAGAGCAGTAGTAAATGGGATACAATGCAGGACTGAACAGGCTGACCATCAACAAGGTCAAAGTACAGTACTTAGTATAAAAGGAAAGCTACATCAAGGGCCAATTCACTCTCAAACAGTCATCGCTTCATTCTGTTAAAATTAATGTATAAACAGGAAGGGAGGAACAGGAATATGCTAGAGAAATAGTTACTGAATCTCTCTTGCCATGGGAAATGCCATCGCAAATTCCTCTTAGAAGATTTACAATCACAGAGGAAAGCTCTGATTTAAACAAATTTTATACAGTTGCCCTAGTGAAAAGAAAAAAGTAACATCACAGGTTTATTATCCAAAATTAACTCATAAACCAAAGTTAAATTTCCCTGGTAAAAAAAATCCATTCCCTTATAAGGGGTTGTTACACTGAGTTTGCCCTAACAATGAACCTAGGAGAACAGGCCTGTTCTTGATAGTGATCTAACCACAACAAGCTGCAATAGGATTGATTCCAAATATCTGTATTTTTAGACTATTTCTAAGTAGATTTACTGCTCATACTAGTCTTCAAGATGGAAGACTTCCCTTTCACACTGGATAAGTACAGCAAAGACAGCAGCATTAGCTGCCCTGTAATGGATCTTGATTCTATTCTGAAGAGCGAGAGGGCACTTCACTGTACATCCCAGTTGGTTACTCTTATTGGATTGTTTGCTAAGATTACCACTGATCAACAATAGTCATGTTGGACACTTGAAATGACATCAACTCCATTCTCAAGAGCCACCAGCCAGCCAGCTGTTTTGATCAGCACCTGCCTGGGCTGGAGTTGAACTTGACTTCACTGTGAAAGGTAATGAATGTTCCTTCCAGGAAGAATCCAGTTACTCCAATGGTGGGCAACCTGCAGCGCAAGGACCGCATGCGGCCCATCGGGTGTTCTGTGAGTGGCCCACGAGACATTTTGTCATTGCCCATATGCAGCATTGCCAGAGTCTGCTAGTTTCTGCCTGTGTTTTTTTCCTGCTTGTATTACTAAAGTGACACGTAAAGCAAGGGCATGTGAAGTGAAGTGCATGCTGATTGCATACAACATTGACTGTAAGAGCCGTCCTCACCTGCACCCAGTCAGAGCCCTGTTACAGTTTAATTGTCACATGCTGCAAATTCTAGATATGTAAGCAAAACTGCCCTCTCCCAGGAGACCATGTTGGTTACAACAATCTTGGGGCCCGCTGAGATGGAAGGCCACTCATGCAACCTACTCACTAGCCTAAATTGCCCATCACTGAGTTTCTCTGAGTTAAGCACTGGCTGATTACCTTACTTTTGTATATATTGAGAATTCTCTGCCTTTTCCCTCCTCCCCATATGCTGCACTGTAGTGCCACCAACCCAATGCACTACTTTTATTTTAATCTTGCCTAAAAATAGATGCATGAAAAGCAGCTCTGAATTAGGCAGCAGCTCCCAGAGATGACTGTGAGCTCTAAGTTTATGAGCTATAGCCATAAACCCATGTAAAAGGAAATGTCCTTGTACCATTTCAGTAAATGCAAAATCTCCTTGTGCCCCCACAATTCCCATTGATTTCAATGGCAGTTTTGGCTGTGCAGAATTGGACCAGTAATGTTTTAATAAATGCAAGCAGTGCCAGATTTATGCACAAGAGAAATAGGCTACATTGCAAGCCTCAGATTATAGGAGGCGTCTAAATTAAAAAAAACTAGTTTTTAGTTGCATTTTCACCTATGTACTGTTATGTATGCAATTATAAAACTTTATTATCTCTGTTTTCATTGTCCTTTCTGTTAGAATAATACACTTTTTTTGTAATGCTATGGGGCCTTTTAAACTTGAATTACTTTAGGGCCTCAGCATGTCTTAATCCAGCCTTGAATGCAAAAATCTCACAGGCATATCTACAGATTCCAATGTGGGCTTGATGGTACCACATCAAACACAGAATATTGTTTTTTGTGATGTGACCTATACAGAGAACATATCTGGATTGTCTGTGTATCTGGCAATAAATAACAGCCACTTGGAATTTTTCAACCATTAATTTGTTCATAGGCCTGGATGTTTTCACCGCCCACTTTTTGAATGTAATATTTTTAATCCTACATTCCACATCTTTTTGACAACACATGATTAAGACAATGCTTTGACAATAATAACTTAAGTAGTACTTCTTGCCTCCATTTTTTATAAGTAAATGCAACTATTTTACATTGCACGTAATTAATATCACTGTGATGTTTGTCTAAAAAGAAACGAGTATGATTCCTGACATGTACAACAGTCTACGTGGAGTGCTGTGTATTTGGTGTGTTATTTTCCAAAGATGTCAGGTAGGTCAAGAATGTGTACATGCAATCACATCCACTTGGCTTCTAATGAAGGAGAGATATGGAAATAGGTGTGTAAACACACACAGTAGAAACCCTATTATCACTACAAAATCCATCCCCATTTCTGTAGTGCATATATATGTTATTTTTACAAGTTAAATATTGCTTCCTTTAATTTCCTTGAGAATAGGATCTGACTTATAAATAACATTGAAGATTCAGCAGGTATGAATTGTGCTTAAGCATACTAATGAAAACATAACCATCCAGAAAAATGAGCATCGTTCCCCTCTTATTCTTGATTTCCACTGAGATGGGGGTGAGGCTTGTCTGTGCAGGAAAACTGGCCTGCTTTAACTATGTTAATTACAAGGCCCCAGTACCAATATAGTTTATTCCTGTGAAGGAACGGAGATACCAGTACAACTGCAGCCATTTTGACGGTTGTAGTTATGTCGGTGAAAAATTGCATCCCTAACCAACAAAGTTATACTGGTACAAAAACTGTGTGTCAGCCAAACTGGAGAAAAGACTCAGACTACAAAGTTTTATTAATATTGCAGGAAGTTCCCAGTGTTTTCTGCCTGACACTCTAGGCTAGAAGTAATGTTAATAGGATAGAGCAGTGTTTAGGGCTGACAGATATCTTCACAGCAGAGGCATATGTACTTCCTCTAAGTTTGTTGGAGCCTTCCATTCTTTATAGCAGTGTTTCTCAACCAGTAGTATGACTACCCTTGGGGTACTCGAGAAAAGTCTGGGGGATATGTCAATACAACTGAAATTTGGAGAAAACTGAATTTTTGTTTAAAGTTTGACAGCGCTTTATTATTTTTGTACTTTTTACATCCAAAAATTTCATCACCCACCTGGCTACAATTAACTTGTTTAAACAAATGTGTTGCAATGGTAGAAAAAAAATGGTGTCTGAAAACTGTAGGTACTGGGGGTACTTATAATTTTTTAAAGGGGTACTTTATAAAAAAGGTTGAGAAACACTGGGATAAGAGTACTGTAATAAGCATCTGAAAGGTTCCTTACTAGGAGGTGCATTTATCAACCCAAAGTCATCCCCCTGGACCTCGCCAGTGCCCAGTTACCCTGCCGCCCCACCCCGGGGCAGGGCACAGCCCCCTTAGTCCCGGATTCCTGCCACTCCATCCCCAGGGCAGGCCACAGCCCCTTAATAGCTGAGTACCGGCCCCCAGGTCCCTCCCGCCCCACGTCCGGCGGGCGCGGCCC